TACTAATAGGCTGGCCTAGTTGGGCTCCCTTGTGTGTCACGAGTGTTGTTTGTTTGCCGAAATGAGCTGCACATAGGAGGAGGTTAATGCCACGAGAGCACCTATACAGCGCTTGTAGCGCCCGTTCTGGCGCTCACGCGCCCCCGCTCCGAGGCCGGCCCATCTACTGTTTCATCGCCGGTTTTTTTCTAGTTGATCATCGCAAAAGCTACTAAAAATTGATCATCGCAAAAAAAAAATCCTAAATTTGAAAAAAAATCAAAATATGGAAAAAGTTCATAAATTGGGGAAAGTTCACAAATTATGATTATTTTTTGCAAACTTGAATTGATTTTCACAAAAAATAGGAAAAGTTCAATTGTTTTTAAAATGTCGAATTTGAAAATGTCCATGTATTTTAAAAATAAAAAAAGAAAGGAAAAGAGAAAACAAGTAATAAGAAAACGAAAATAAATAAGAGAAAACGAAAAAAAACCTGAAGAAGAATCGTTCCAGAAAAACCATAACGAAAAATAAAAAACTCTTCCCAAATATGAAATAGAGGTTTGCCTAAATTTTTTCTAAAAAAAGGGTTTCTACCCCTAAAATAAGAATCTCAGAAAAAATGAAAATAAAGAAAAGCTTAAGGAAAATGATTACTCTCAGGCAGCTGATAATCACGGTCCGTCCGCCGCCTTTGTTGCCTGCCACACATCCTCAGCGCGAAGTCAAGTGCAGGCACGCAGTCTTGTTGCAAATCTTGGAGGTAAACGACTACTGTGATGCGATGCAACCTTGTTTTTAGAAATAATTTTGCAACAGGTAATCTGTTGCAAAAAAAGTCTGCAAGAAGACGGTTGTTGCAAAAAAAATCTTTAAGAAATCTGCAACAAGACGTCTATTGTAAAAAAAATTTGCAACAAGACGTTTGTCACAAAAAGGTTCTGTGATAAGATGTCTGTTGTAAGAAATTTTTGAAATAAAGCATGTCTTGCAACGGTGAACGTTTACACTATGCCACTTACAAACCTGGCCGAACTTATAGCCAGGCTGTGTCGTGTGGGCCCACGTGATGTGTCCTCCAGCCTAGGCACGACCCAACTAATAAACGGGCTGGCCCATGGCACATTTAGCACGGTTGGGCTGCATATTTTCAGCCTGTTGGGGCTGTTATTTAGGCATATTGGGCTGTATTTTTGAACATATGTGTAAAAAATTCTAATAAAAATAAAAATAAATAAATAAGCGGGTTGTGCCGTGCTGGCCCGCGTGCCCAGCCTCCAGGCCCAAGCATGGCCCATGGCGTGCCGCGTGCCAACCTGGCCCGTGTAGCTCGGGTCGTGCCGTTCCTGCATGCTACCGGGCCAGCCCATTTAGCACGGCCCGTTTGGCCAGCTACATATGCTAAAAAGCCCCATATTTGTCTTTTTTATGTAGCTCACATTATAATGTATTTTGACTTGGAAATTTGCACACATGTACATTATGTATCTAGGTATATGTGTATTTATTTTCAGATTTTTTTGAAACTGAAAAGTTTGAATTTTAAAGTTTTCAAATAAAAGCCTCCATGGAGCTCGGTCTCCATTTGACATTTTCGCTTAATAGGTGAAATCTAACTGCTTGCGGTCCGACCGATCTTTTAAAAAAAGATCAGCCGGCAGCCGCGTAGCACGCCCCAAAGCTTGAACTTACAAATGCAGCACCAGACTTTCCATAGGAGGTAATTTTTCTTCTTCTGAAGTAGTGCTAGGAAACGAAGACATGAACTACATACATTTTACACAGGTCCCAGTTGCAACAAAACAAATGTACAATTCTACACAGAATCCGTGTTCACTAAGGAGAGACAGCAGACCACACACACTTTGCCAACAGCACACCACCATGGCCCATGAAGCCTTTCTTCCTGAGCTAAAAAAGGCACCGGACATCTTATTATCATCATTCATTACTCGTGTAACAACCCCACAGTAGGATCCAAGGAGAATTTGCTGCAAGTGGAACGAACGCCCGGCTCCAAGCTCAAGCCTGCAAAGGTAAACAAGAAAGGACCGTCAAATACTACCGAGTAGATTAGAATTTGGCATATGCGGTAGAAATCATTGGTTTCAAGTTTGGATCCTCGAGGATGGTTGACCAGGTGAACATTGGTGTACATAAATGATATATATGTTGACAGACGTTGAAACTGGCTGAAATAAAGGTGTCATGGCTACTGATCTTGAAACATTGAACACTCTTCTATCCTACATATTCTACCAACGACCTATTGCAATCAAAATATTAAAAGGCCTCACGACGCGTGTTGCATGATGTCTTGTTGGCACTCGATAAACAGAAGAGGGTCCACAGAAGAGTCGGTATATCCAAAACAAATGAGCACTTGTTTCACCAATAGGTATGTATTTAACATAGTACTAATAGACTAGCATTTCTGACAAGAAATTGCAGTGTACCTAACTGCCATTTGACAATAGTCAGGGCTAATCCCCTAAAAGGATACAATTGAACCATGCAGTGTGCGCCATATTCTGTTTCAAGATCAGACATTTTAAGAGAGCGTTAAGCCATGGCATTACTTATAATAACATGGAAGTTTTCTCAAGTTATTGAGATGTGGGTCCCGACAGAAGTTGTAGTCTTATTTAGCCACTTGCACACATGATTTAGCTTATATAGGCCCTCAGAGAATTAGCAAATTAGTTGGTTCCTTCTAGTAAAACTTTTTCTTTTTAATACTGTGGTACACAACCATGACATTAGCAATTTCTGGTAAAAATGTCTAGTCATTTGCAATGCTGGGATCCAACCCAAAAAAGATAACAGGGTATACCAATAATCATTACAAACATGATAATAATACTCCATCTGATGTAGAAGTAGTTAACTAGTTTTTGGGCATGTAAGTAGCCAACATGCCATTTTCATATCTCTAGTGTATATCCATATTTGTACTTGGCAAGAATGCATCCCAAGAGAAGGATATATTCGCAATTTTGCTTCTCTGGCGGTTTTAAATTTCCTAAATATTCTCTACTTAAAGTTCTAAAAATTTAAATCACATCTAAAATATAGGTCAGTAAGGTCACCACACAGGATAAGAAGTATTCAAAGATCTGGCTCGTGTAGGTGCCTTCTGATATGATACGCCCAGTCCTAGCCTACCAGGTAGATAGAGGATGTATGTAAAGGATAAAGGATACCATGGAGATCTAAGATGTAATTCAGTTTAACAAGTTCACACAAGATGAAATTCTTAGTATTGGTGTACCACAAGAAGACCTCTAGAAAGTCCTCACTACAATGTTCCCTCTTCTTTCACCCTTGAGCAGCGCGCAGGATCACAGGTTCACAGGCATATGATATTGCGATACGGGTACATTTTTGCGAGTGGGACTGCCTCTTGCTAGTTTGCACCACCTCCTTGCCACAAAGCCTCACTGACCACATCATGCATCTCGACGTGCCTCCACAGGATTCCCAATCATCTGCCAAGCGACTTCTCCGTTATGAAGTCATGATACATGTTGCACACGCTCTTCATGTTGACCCTCCCTCCCACACACCTTAACCCTTTAGCTCATGCCTCTTGAGACTTGCAGTGTTGCAAAAGATGGGGCGTACCACTTGTAGGTCCAAGGGAAGTTGGTGTAGTGGACGGAAGTGTTGTTTGTTCAAACATGCATGGAAGATTTGATTTTATTCTATGACCATTTTTTGTGTGAATTAAGTGCATAGTGTCAATACTCAAGAATTACTCCCTCCGTCCGAAAAAGCTTGTCCCAAGCTTGTCTCTCAAATGGATGTATCTAGTACTAACTTGGTGCTAGATACATTCATTTGAGGGACAAGCTTTTTCGGACGGAGGGAGTAGGTCATAAAGCGTCACCCTGCACAGGACACAGTTACTGGACTACAACCGATATTAGACACAAGACTGGGACATACATCACAATTTGCCACAGATAAGGAAAGAAATGCATCCAACGCATGCTGCCAGACGGTCACTAATGATGCCGTTGATGGTCACCAGCAGTGGATATTGTTGACTCGCTGCCTAATAGGGTCTCCAGCGGACAATACTGAGTTGGGCCACGAGAGACGCGCAAGATTAGAGATTCACAATGCAGGTTTTATGGCTGCAGTGCTATCTCAGATCAATGGTGGCGGTTTCAAGAGTAGATATGGTAGAGAGCAGAAACAGGATCAGGACGAAGAAAAGAATGGGAGAGAAGGGAAATACTCCCTCCGTCCCAAAATAAGTGTCTCACTATAGTACAAAGTTGTACTAAGCTTAAGACACTTATTTTGGGACGGAGGGAGTAAAATACAGCGGATCATTTTTCTTCTGTTCTCCAGAGGGAAATCAGATAGTCCAACCTTTTCAACAAAAACAAAAAAAATAGATAGTCCATTAACAGACTACTATAGAATGGCACGTTTAAGAGGATTGCAAACTGTTGGTGCTATTAAGGCAATCCAGTGTCTTTTAGTGGTACATATCAAAACCAGGGTACTTCTGGTGCTGCATAATAAGGACAAATAAGGTTTTTCTTTTTTATAAACGGGATTAAGTAAAGAAAGAGGTTCCCTCTTCCCTCTGTTACCATTACTTAACAAATGAACCCTTTCAAAATTGCTGCTGCCAAGGGCAACTATAGTCCTGAACACCAACAAAGAAAGGTGTTCCCTCTCCTTTAATTTTGACAACAGGCACCACATTTTAGTAAGACATGACTCCGGGTTAGGAACTTACGATGCAGGTCGGGTGTTACGTTGTGGCACGAAGTGATGTGAGCTAAGTTGACATGCTGCTAGATTAGTTGTTGGGTGTGGTAGCAGTAGGTGAAGTATCATATGGAAAGAACATAAACTGTTCATACACGCTAAAAATCCTTGATATATTTTAATCACCTGGTGATCACTGATTAGAGGAGGTTGACACCAGCTTCACTCAATCATCAAAACAAAACAATAAGACATGCCCCCACACCACCAAATTGTATGTGCCACCACGACTAAATGTTCTCACCCCAATCACAACCGTCCTAAAAATTCCAGACCAAAACTAAGAAATGCTAGGAATGAAACATCTACTGGATTCTAGCGCGCAATCTATGCCAGAGTAAATTGGCTATCCAGGGTTCAAAGTGCACATGTCATGATATCAAGCAGCACCAAACAACAAGTATACTGATCCGATTCCAAAGTCTGTACCAGCCATGTAATTCATGGCGAAACAACACGAGGCGCCTAATTCAAACAGCGGAGCGCTAAAAAGTGACTGAATCCCGACCCCATACCTCTGCAACGGGGAGCAGGCCGAGCTCCTGGATGACCCCGGCGACGCCGCGGAGCTGCGCGCCGGCGCTGGCGCCGCAGGCGGGCACCCGGTCGAAGAGCGAGGCGGAGAGCTCCTCGGAGACGAAGCCGACCTGGAACTCGAGTGTGCCCTCCTCGGGGTGCGCCACGATGCCGGAGACGGAGACCCAGAGGAAGAGCTTCTTGGCCTGGATGCCGGCGAGGCCGGTGATCCGCCCCTTGGAGAGGCAGCCGCGGAGGGCCTTCTCGTAGTAGACGAGGTGGTCGCCGAAGCGGACGTAGCAGGTGCCCGCGAGGTGGATCTCGAAGTCGCCCGTGGCCTCGTCGAAGGTGTAGGAGCTGACCGAGTCCGGGATGAGGCCCTTCGGGAGTCCGTACTTGGGGAGCAGGTCGTTCGCCGCGCCGTTCTCCGGGGCCGCGGACGCGGCGGCGACGGCGACGGCGGCGGCGAGGAGGAGGAGGAGGAGGAGGAGGGCTTGGGGAGTCATGGTCGTCGCTGGGGTTTGGGATGGATTCTCTCTCTGCTTTGCGCGTGGGGAGTCCGGTGGGGGCGCCGAGTTCTCTGGCAGGACGTTATCTAGGGTCAGCTCCCGGCTAGCAGCCTAGCGCTCTGTATTTATTTTTTCTCCAACGCTAGGCGCATGTGTATTTTGAAAACATTATTTGTCACTATATCTTTGACCCGATCTATTATAACAGCTTTATCACAAGTACTACATGCCACATCAAATATGATTAAAACTACATCGAGATTTTTGAACCACCGAACAACCACTGCTGTTGTCAGAACGATTTGTCGACACGCTGCTGTCGCCGCTTTTCTATCAGGACGATTGGAAAATTTTGAGGAGCCAGAAACATTTCGTAATGTGAGTCCACTCCCAAATTTATTTTAAGAAACAATTGGTTTTGTCGAGGCACCCGGATGATGTGGCTCACTGCTAATATATGGCATTGCCAAGATTCTCCTTCTTGAATAACATTGGGGAAAAAAGCCACACCCTATGTAATATATGTGTCCTCTAAGGATGATTGTTGTATGTTTGTCCCTCTTGTAAGCCCTTGCTAATTGTATTAGTCTAGACCATGCACGAAAACGACTATATAATTTGTTCCGATGTTCATCCAAAATCTCGAGCAAGTGAGGTCTCTCCAGGGTGCAGATCAACCAGTGTCATAGTGGGTGCCTTTGGAGACATTCAATGGCGGAGCCAGGAAAAATTAGGAGCTGGGGTGGACTGCAAGCTAACTAAAAGTACTAACCGCAACCAAATATTTTGATACATACTAGCAAAAGGGCCCGTGCGTTACAACGGAAGAAAAAAAATATCATAATCTCCAATGGTCATGATACATTTTGCTACATCACCGAGATACACTATCACTCATAATTTCAAGAAATCATGAACATTTTTTAAACTCATAAATATATTTGAAGTTGCGAACATTTTTTCATGAACGCTTTTACAAATTTTCAAACATTTCCAAAAATCAAGAACATTTCTTTAATTCATTAAAATTTTAGAATTTTTACAAACTTTTTTATAAAATTGTGAATATTTTAAAAAAAAAATCTTGAATCGGTGAACATTTCTAGAATTGACGAAATTGGTGAAACAAATTTTGAATTCATGAATATTTATTTTATCAACTAATAGTTTTTGAATCAACGAACATTTTATGAATGAATAACCTATTTTGTAAGTCACGAACTTTTTTGTATTTTTAGGATATTTTTTCATTCATGAACATTTTTTGGATTGACAAAATTTTGTTCAATTTCATTAACATTTTTAATACACAACTTTTAAAAAATCATGAATATTTTTTCATTTTTCGAACATTTTTTTGGATAATTTCGAACATTTTTTGAATAAGGACATATTTATTTATAAAATTGCGAACATTTTTTGAAACCACAAACGTTTTACTAGTTGTTTAAACATTTATTTCACAATGATCATTTTTTTAATTTTTTAACTTTTTTGAAGTCCCAAATATTTAAGGAAAAAAAGAAGAATAAAAAATAATAATGAAATTTAGAAAATAGGTTGCCAGACATGGGCCGGTCCAAATGGGAGCACCGCGTCTTCTCCCAGCAAGCAGAGCGCAGTATAGGAGGTCCCTATTGCATGGGCCAGCCCAGGCGGGGGATTCCCCTGTGCGAAACGTTTTTTATTACTTCTCCACCACATTGGTGGATAATATTTTGCAACTTTGGGAACAATTTTCCCGACGTACAGCAAGATGCAATAGTCCCTTTATTATTAGGTATAGAATATATTATGCAACTATAAACACTAAACTAGTTATCGCCAAAAACAATATATGCACTAAAATAAAGAATTTTTAATTTGCAATAGTTTCAACTGATATTGTATTGACAATGCACATAATTTTAATAATAATAACTAAAACCAAATACAATAACTCATAGCCTTTGTAAAATCCCTTTTCGAGTTTTCATTGCTTGAAATCATCGAGTGATATAAAGATTCCAAGTTCATTGTAGCTTATGATCAAGTGACTGAACCAGCCCTCATTGATCTTTCTGCACAATTAGACTTGATATTTTTCGTTTTGGAGAAAGCTCTCTAAACGGATGTTGTTAACAACAATAATAACAAAGCTAGGCACTAACAATGGTCAGGCCAGAGGAGTCAATAAGAAGCAATACATGAGCAAAGTGAAGAGTGACTTTTCTTCAATTAACCTGCTCAGTTCGATCAACAATGGAATCTCCAATTTTCTATATCACTTTACAAAATCGATATTGAAAGAATCCCCAAAAAATGAAGAGTGAAATATGATGCCACAAATTTGTGTGTACGCGTGTTGGGACTAAGCATGACCATTGACCTTGAAATCAAGGCATCAATCCCGGAATTCGTCGCCTAACAAGTGGGCACAAATGGTTGAGAGGAGGCGTTGTCGATTGCCGCCTTTTCCGCTAGGAGGAACTGCGCCCGAGCTCAATGAATCACCGACGCTTTCCACAGAGTGACTCGAACTGTCGCAATCTATCGAGAGATAGGAGAGAGACGACGAGCAAGAGAGGAGGGGACATGGTTTGGCCGGCGACTTGCCCTACAATCTGAGCCAGACCTTGCGTATTGCGTTTATTTGAAGAGTTGTGCAGCCATGGGCACAATAGCACCAAGTGAGGCCCATGAAATATTTGCCCGGGCAGATCACGGTTAATGGAGCTGATAATTACATGAGTCGTAGCTTATATTATATGCCTGTTCGCCAGTGAGCCCGGGCAGCTGCCCCAGGTCACCGGGTACTGGCTCCGCCACTGGATATACTAGAAAGGTTGGGTGCGCTTTGCTGCAGCGTTGGTGTTGTTGGATTTCTTAAAAAAATTACTCGCTTTGTTTCAAAATATAAGTGTATTGTTTTTTTAAAAGTCAAACCATTTAAGTTTCACCAAATTTGTAGAGAAATATATCAAAATCCATAGTATCAAATCGGTATGATTAGATTCATCATGAGATGAATTTCCACACTTTTTTGTTTAATATTGTAGATGTTAATATTTTTTGCTTTGAACTTGGTCAAAGTTAAAGAAATTTGACTTTCAAAAAACTAATACCCTTTATATTGTGGAACTAATGAAATATTTCTTCTGGCGGGTGGGAGATTATGGAGTGTGTTTTATTTTTATTTAAAATGTGGTGATTTTATAGGCCTTTGTGGTGTGGTTCTATGTCATCTGCTAACCAACGTATATTTATGTGGGGAAATTTTTGTGTCGATGACTGCATATACTATATTTGTGATACAGTATCACATGGTGACGCTTCTTTCTTCTAGGTGGTGGGAGGGTGCATGGGAGTGATACCATTTTATAGGCCGATTGCTGCTGATTGATTTAAAAAAGCGTTGGCCTGGTCAAAATCGTAAACCAAATCCAAAATTGAATACCTTAATTGAATGAAAGAGCTTCAAAATGAAAACATAGTGAAGTAAAATAATTGAAAGAGTTATGAAATTGTTGACCTGGTCAAAATCATGCTGACTCAATTCTAAATTGAAGATTTCAATTAATTGCGAGGCCTTAAAAATTACGAAGTATAGTGTGTAGTATATAAGAATTGAATGGGATAGTTTTGAGAAATTGTTGACCTGGTCAAAGTTGGGTGACCCAATCCCAATTGGAGACCTTAATTGAATGTGGGCTATTTAAAATTAGGGAGCTTAGTGTTATAGAGATATTTTGATCAATTTAATTCATATGCAACACATGACGATAGTGCTATGAAGATTAATGTCCTACTTCAAACACATACTAAGCATTTTTTAAATGAGTATTGTTTTCAAACTGAACGCATTCTAAGCAAAGAACATGCACATCCATGAACTAGTAAAAGTGGGGTGAGCGATAGATCATACCCCATGGTCGGAAAAGTGAGGGTTGCAGTGACGCGTGCATTCTTCACGGCATCGCTAATGTCAACCATGACGTGATCAGTGAAGTAGTAAAAATCATGGATGTAGACAGACGGAAGCACACAACCTCATTGAATGTATAACCCTTCTTTCCGAATGCCTGCTCTCCGAGATGGAGTAGTCGTAAGCATCAACAACAAGAGGAACGACAGTTGGAAGCTTAGTTAGCTCGACTCGACTCATTCACGAGACATGTCACGCCCGGAGGCGTGGCTAGGCGGGAGACGGAGGAGGAGTAGGTACGTGCCACTTCTCTTCTCATGCTCCAATGAGATGTGAATTAGAATTCCTTATATGTTGGTCCGAACTCTCCTTCACTCCTAGGGTGGGACAATTAAACTCCCCGTCGTAACACCGCAAAATGGGCCTCCGAGATGCTATTTCACAGACACCACAAAAGGAGTCTTGAAGATTTTTCAGAAAATAATTGAGTCATGGGGCCAAAGCCCATCAATAATTCAACCGGTTCATTGTGCTGGGTCTTCTCATCGCCGGTCGACACATTGGTGCAGCCCCGAGGCGTGAGAATTTCATCTTGGAAACCGGCTTAGGAGGGTGGTCAATTAGTTTGGTCACTCAGGTCTCCGTCTTGTGCATCCTGATAACCCACAAGTATAGGGGATCGCAACCGTTTTCGAGGGTAGAGTATTTAACCCAAATTTATTGATTCGACACAAGGGGAGCCAAAGAATATTCTCAAGTATTAGCAGCTGAGTTGTCAATTCAACCACACCTGGAAACTTAGTATCTGCAGCAAAGTGTTTAGTAGCAAAGTAATATGATAGTGGTGGTAGCGGTAACAAAAGAGTAAAGAAAGCAAAGTAATATTTTTGGTATTTTGTAGTGATTGTAACAGTAGCAACGGGAAAGTAAATAAGCATAAACCAGTATATGGAAAACTCGTAGGCACCGGATCAGTGATGGATAATTATGCCGGATGCGGTTCATCATGTAACAGTCATAACATAGGGTGACACAGAACTAACTCAAATTCATCAATGTAATGTAGGCATGTATTCCGAATATAGTCATACAT